ATAGTCTTTTTTGAAAGTATTCTATTACCTCAAATACTTAAGGAATTTATTCTTTTATTTATGCATCTACATTTTCACCCTATATTATAAGCTCAGTCTTGGATGGGAGTCTGCTAAGATCCGAATAAATGAGTTGTACCTTTGTCTCCTGCAGAGCCAAGGACATTTACAACTTAGAGCCAGCATTCCTATTCTTTCTGGACCTCAGGATTCCCCCTGCACAGAGAGTGCACACTGGGCCCTCACTTCTCTGCATGGCTTAGGCAGGCAGAGGTTTTGATTTCTAGGGCAGACATTCCTTAATTAGTCCAAAGTCCCAGACAAACCACAAGCTTCCTTGGTGACCCTGTGCCAATGGGAGGAGGGTTTTTTTCCCATCCTCCTGTTACTAAAAGTCAGCTTTCCGAGGGCCCAGGGCAGAGGGCTAGGTCCAGATTGATCCGTACCTTTCCAGAACTCACGGTCTGAGTGTGTCCCACCCCCCTTCTCTGGGGACACTCACCTCACCTAACCCATGTGGGCTCACAGTCCTAGCACGCCTTTGAGTCTCTTCTCATCTCCCACCTGATATCTACATTTCCCTCAACTGATGATATATTTTATTTAGCACTTCTGTGTTTTCTAACTTCTCGGCCCCTCATATTCCCAGAAGTTGAATCTTTTGTGCTTTCCAATCGTTCAATAACTCTTTTCAGAGTAAGCCTGGATGTGACGTAGAAACCATACTGGAGGGGTATCCAACCAGACATGGGAAAAAATTCACCTGTCCCGAGAGCTTAAGACTGGATGTACAATTAGGCACATATAACATGTAGGTGCCCTGGGCGACGGCCGGGAGAGCGGGGAGTGAAGGTTGCAGACAGAAGATAAAGCACATGTGAATATGCAGCAAACAGCGTATCACATTCTGAGAAGCACACGTTCCAAGAACTGCAGGAGTTTGGTGTGGAACGAGGGGTGACATGTGAGGGTGGGAGATAAGAAGAGGTCAAGGTTGCCTGCCAGAAGGGACAGCAGCGGGCCTAGCCCAGCACGCAGACAGGAAGTCATGAATGAGACCATCAGGCCACAGGGTGAAATCATCGGGTATTTTAAAAACTAATAAATGTTTCTTACGTAAATATGCACAGCCGGATGGAAACTGCTTACACAAATCTTCAGGCAGGATGACACCCCGAGGGCCTTCAAGCACTGACCTTAACATTGCTCCACAGCCCTGAACCCTTAGCCAAAGGATTGTGGGCTCGGGGCTGCCCAGCCTCCCAGGAATTTCCCCACCGGCTGGGGAAGGTGGGTGAGTCTCACCTTGTAGACATTTTAGAAACACAGCTCTTTCAGGAGTGTTCCCCCATACCCCTCTACTTCCCTTCATTGGTCCCCAAAACACAGCATGATGATCCTCAAAGTCAGGAAAGAGTTGTGAGGAACAGCAGCAGAAGCTTGAATATAAAAGTACCCGGGGCCACGGGCCAGGGGTCTATTTTTGGAAGTTTTTCTCATTGCCTGTTTATCTTTCAGACTCAGCCTAATGTGTTCCAGGCCAGTGCTGAGGTTACTGGGCTGGAGGGGGGAAGCAGGAGGGCGATCTATGAACAAACACCAGTAGTAAAGGGGCAGTCTCTGCAGTGTTCCAGGCCTCCCTGGCCCCTGGAGCGCCCCAGGCAACTCTGAAGAATTCATTCAGACCCTCGCTGGCCCCTTCCACCGGCTGTGGGGCTGGGGCAGGCCACACAGAAGATGACCGAGGGTGGCAGAGCTCCTAAACCATGAAGCACAACCGACCAGGGCGTGCCACCCCTCTCCAGACCTGGGTCTGGGCCTCCAGGACATGGTGGAGACCGCACACCTAAGCCGCCCGGAGGGAGCCTGCCCAGCTCGCAGCTCTTACCCCACACTGGCAAAAGCGAGTTCCTGTATCCTAAAATGCAGTGAGTTATTTTAATCCACTCAAGCTGCAAAAGAGAAAGGGGCTGGCATGGAGTCTCGATTTAGATTCGCCTCTGAGGGACAAAACCGGTGGCCCCAGGAACTCCGCAGACCGAATCCACTTTTAAGGGCGTCCTCCCCGCACCCCTCCTCGTCCTCCCCACCTCACTCCAGTGAGGACGACTCGTCTCTCCCGCTCACTTTCCAGTCCTGTTGAGTCACCCGGAGCTCCTGGGGGCGTGGCGGGACGCATCC